AATACATGGTGATATATCAACTTAAGAGGAATCCAAAATAATTTTTATTAATGATAACTTTCATTTAACTTAAACTAGTCTAATTTTATTTAGAGTAAGCTTACTCCTATCTTCTATATTTAGAAATCCATTCTCTAAACTTTGATAATCTTTCTTTAATTTTTATTAAAATAGTAAATTTGATGTTTCTAATTCTTATGAAACTATAGCACTAAATTATTATATTTTCTCATATATTATCTAATCTATTATTATAATGATTTATTAATTTATTCTTAATTATTTATTTCTGTTTAGAACTAATTCTTATTTATTTATAAATTTTGTAACTCTTATTATTTCTATCTGAATTATTCTTACATCCTATCAATTTGTTAAGTTAAACAACTCAACTTATTTTTTATTATATTAAATGGATTTATTTTTGAATTTACATTCTCAATGCTAGTATTTTTAACTTCCTTTTTCAACACGCCTCCAATCATACCATTATATAATATAAGACTTATAATTTTAACCAAGACAGAAATTTTAACCAAACCTAATTGTTTAATTTATGGGTATAAGAAAAGAAATAAAAATAACAGCAATTAAAGTATTTATCATATATTTAAGAATTATCAATTCTTCTCTATATGTTATTCTAATTTGCTTTCCAAAAAGTAACTTCCTTTGAGTTTTAATAGGGGTCTTAAATCCATTCCTGAATGATTCTCAAATTATCCTTGAAGAATTAGAGCTCCTTGTGCTTAAAATATATGGGATTAGGAAATAAGGAGGATATTAAGATATGAGGTACCTAAAAATAAAATTAAAAATAATACTCTCTTCAAAACTATTATTTTAATTCGATGGTAATTATACAAGAAGATCTTAGTATTATTTATATAAAGGTTAAATTTAATAACCAGTCTTAAGATCCCATATACGTATTGATTTATCAAAACTACTTGATGCTAAAATAGTCCCATCAGATGAGAAGCATATTGAATAGACATAACTTGTATGACCATCTAATTTAGCTTTTTATTGTCTGGTCTTAACATCCCATAAACAGATTGAACAATCATCACTATTAGATGCTAAAATAGTTCCATCTGGTGAGAAGCATAAAGATTAAAGATTGCTAGTACGAGCTTCTAATTTGGCTTTCTGTTATCCGGTCATTATATCCCATAAACAGATTGACTTATCATGACTACCTGAAGCTAAAGTAGTTCCATCTGGTGAATAACATACTGAATAGACATAATTAGTATGACCATCTAATTAAGCTTTTTATTACCCAGTCTTAACATCCCATAAACGGATTGATTTATCACGACTACCTGAAGCTATAGTATTTCCATCTGGTGAGTAACATACTGATTAGACATAATTATTATGACCATCTAATTAAGCTTTTTATTACCCAGTCTTA